TTTTGTACAAAAAGTACAAGTTTCTTTTGTATAAAACTCTTTAGTTGGGAGCAAATTGGAATAAACACTATCATTTGGAACCCTGTCCATCACAATCACACACAAACATTAGAGAAAATTCAAAAGACATTTGCTCGAAATTTATACAAGAAGATGTACGGATATTACCCCTTACTTTATCCCACAACATTTATTTTAGGTATGGTAAATTATAGAATGCTAGAAGTGAGACGCAATCTGGCTCTTGTAACTTATATGTTTCGTCTGGTACAGGGAATAATATGAAACCCAGTTTTGTTGTTCAAGATAAGCTTTATGGTACCTAGAACTAATCTGGTGCGACTTCATAGAAAAAGATTATTTGCAGTATCTACCACACAATGTAGAGTGAGTGAAATGGCCCCTATGCCCCGAGCATCTAAATCATAAGTATCTAAATCAGTTGTTTAACTTTGACTCCTTGTTGGACCTTTTTGCATGCTCAGAATCAAAATTCATGTTTCCCGCAGGACGCTATCTGGAGTCCCTGACCGGATATATGTGTTTGTTTAAAATGGATTTTATCTATTTTTTCGTTAATGTTTATCTGTAATAATTTATTATTTATGGTGTTTTGTTTATAATTTTTTTATTCATTTTTGTAATTTATATAATATTGTTTGTTAATTTAAGTCTTATTGCATTTGGGTTGACTGTGAGCAATATGTAATAAAAAAAATAAAGAATATTGCCTCGATTAAGCTCAGATTATTGGTATTGTTGCCAAGCACGTTATTATTATATTTAAATTCATACAAAAAACAGACTCGGATATGATTATACAGCAAAAAGAGGATAAATACATAATCTTGTTATTCAAAATAAGGCCTATCTACAGGTGTATTCAGAAATTTTATCCCTGATATCCACAGCCAAAAAAAAGCAAAACTAAACATACATTGTCCTGAGAATAAGCAGTCTTGCACATAGGCCTTTGTTCAGATGAGTCAATTTATTTAAATATTTTTTGGGAAACTACTCCACTAGTTTGTAGTTTTATAATCAAAGATCGAACACACAAAAAAAATTTCTTTAATCTGACTGAACATGAACCCACGACAGTATCGCTTAACATGAGCTTGCCTACTTTACTTATGCTGCATAAGGCCTTACACTATCATCACAAACAGGCTTTGCGAGTTCTAACACAGATTGACTTATTATATTGTACACAACCCAAGAAATGGCACGTTAGAGATGGAAGGTGGTTAGCGATCCCTGCAGACTTTTACGAAACCACAGAACACTTCGTTAACATAGCAAAAGCTTTGATATTTAGTAGCAGTAGAGCTCCTTGTGAAAGAGTACATCCAAGGACGTACTGTCACCTTCCCTATTCCTAACGCCAAGTAGTGTTAACATTACGGCATTCCGGTTTTGAAGGGTAAGGATTCTGGTGAAATTACAGGCACATGGGACTTGTCAGCATTATGTCTCAGAGTGACAGGCGCAATAGCAGTGTCCCGCAGATCTTAGCAATTTAAAGGACTATCCATACACATAAGGGCCATACCCTGGATGTGGATGGGCTGTGCTCCATCAGGAGCTCAAAAAAATTTTGGTGCATTTTGTATGAACACATTCACACATGTCCGTGTTGGCACCGGGACGGGCCCACAATTCATACAAACTAGCACGCCCCGGCCACGTACCTGATGTGTGTGGATAGTCCTTAAAGCTCTGTGTAGCACTACAACTGTTACGGACAGGCGCAAGACTTGTCTGTCCCATCACTGGTCATCATAAAAAAGTGTTCCACTCAGAGGAACAAATGAGAAGCACACAAAATGTATTATGTATAATTACTTATATAGTTCTTTAACATATACACAAGCATTACTAAATAACATATTAAATAAGGTATGTATATAAATCGCCATGCAAGCTAAGTAAACTGTAAGGTAAAGTCAACATCATATCAAGCTATACAATTTTGTGCGTATATCGCCTCTAGTGCAACGGAACAAGATCCGTCAATGTGTAGCTTGATGTACTGCCGTTTGTACATTGAAAAATAGCATGTGTAATTAACCTGTACACTGTTGTTCATCGCGATATATACATGTAAAATTACATATTTAAAATTTAATACGCAGCCTTGAATCCTAATTTTCGTTCTTATCGCTTATACGAGGTAGAAAATGAAAATAGGTAACAAACGCACAATTGAAGAAATGAAATGTCAATGGACGAAAAATTGCATCGGAAGTACGAACCTGAAGTTTCCACGGCCACGGTTACCTCTGAAGTTGTTGGAGCCATCATCATCATCATAAATCTCATCATAACCAGTCGGTTCACCAAAATCTTTCGGTATTTCTATACCAGGTTCTAGACCATCAGATGCCCTCGCAACCTCGGCACCAGTCAAATCCTGCGTTTCCATATATTCGTCTTCCATTTTCTAAACACAACACTTATGTCCTCATAACTAAACAGTTTATTTTTAGTCAAAAAATGCTTTCTCGCAAAAATTGCGGAAATAACAAATGGCGCTTCCAAAATGGCGGCCGGTGGCTGGCTTGGTTAGTGATGTAGACATGGAGAGACAATTTACTATGGTCAACATAATCAATCGATTAAATAAATTTGGTATTAATTTATAATTGTCCCATGAATTAATTACATACATACATTTACACACTTAGCACATCTTTAGATTTCAAACGCTAATCGATTTTTATGTTTTATAATCAGTGACTCGAATTGAGGGAATTAGTTTAGCAAAACTAAAGAATAATGTGGACGTTCCCTTCTACAAATAGCAATGTATAGCAACATCTAACATCCACTCATATAACAACGTTACTGCGACAAATGACGTTATTCTTGTAGCAATAATTTGAATTGAAGTTTAAGTTAACCATGCAAAGTATTTGAAGAGGTTTTTATTTTAAACGAAGGTTAATTTATTAAACTTTCATTCATAAAATTTTTAGAATGTATAAGTATTTAATAAATTATTTGTGAACAAATGTTGTGTTAAGAGACGTCATAGGAATAGGAGTAAAATGACGTTTAGCGACATTTTTGATTTTTTTTTCATAAATTAAACCAAAGATGTATTTTTTAAACTGGGTAACATGTAAAATAATGGTAAATATATATAAAAAGCTTATTAATTGTGTCATGAAATTTTAGTATATTAAAATAATTGACCGGAAGACGTTTTTTGCCCCTTTTGAAGAACAACCCATTAATGACTCCACACGCTTGGCATAACTTGATGTAGAGGGTATATTCATCTATGACTTGATGTAACGATGTAGGACATACAAAACGGATACGAGTTAAAACAGGTCGCGCGTCTTCCGGATCGCGCGTCTTGGGTATTCCCACAGCCATCGTAAGGTATTTAGTTTCTACGTAACGCAATTAGCATGAAGCTAATGATGTACAATTTGTTTACAAAATTCGTGACAGTGTGAATTGAGCCTAAAGAAGCCAAAGCTAGAAATTTTTGCTTAAAAAAATTATTTGCGACTATTTGAAAATTTTGTGAATTATATGAATATACCAGTACATAGATATCGTTGGGATAAACTACAACGTGATTAAAACTAATTTTCCACATTAACCGACTTAAAAAAAAGGAGCAGCTGCTGAATTCTTTTAACTGTATTTTTTTATTTGAATGTTACGCGATTACTCCGACATTTGTAAACCGATTTCGATCATACTTTTTTTTTGTTGGGTTTCCTAAGTTAAGTAGTGGTCCCATTCAAATTTGGATAAAATATTCCACCTCTATGGGTGGCTAATTAGGGGATGCATCCGGTTTATTCGATTTCACCCATTTTCTATTAGCCGTTTTCAATAAAACTTGGCAAATAGATGTAATTCCACAAACATTTAAGGTCGTTTCTTTTTATAAAAAAAAGTTATTTTTCAACTTCTTCGGGAGTGCGATGTAGTATTGTATGCCATATGTATTCAATGTCCCTCTATTCGTGATTGCCTATCCTATCGCTCTTGTGATACAAATTGTTATTTATTTGCAAATTCCACAACTTTACATACATAATTTATTTGTTTTGTATAGCTTTTGTACACGTATAACCTTCAACAACTTAAGTAATAAATTAAACAACTGTTTTAATAATCTAACCGTTTATTATTTGTCACTTTTACATTTTCCTTCTCATATCACGTTACTTAGTATTATCACAGATAATGTAATACGTATTATAATACATGCGTACAATTATTTCTTTTAATAATGATTTAAATCGAAAGTCAGGAACGAAATGTGAGTCATTCAAACAAATGTGGCTGCTTTAGACGCCGCCTATTATCACCGGTTCGCTCACCTTTGCTTCGTCAGGACGAGTTAGGACACAACGATCTAACTTTTCAGTAACTGTTCAGCTTTCTCGAATTTTTTTTTTCGTGTTAAGCTTCTTTTATTTTTGATAGACATTGGTAGGCTTCGTCTTTATTGCTTTCTTAAAGTAGTCTTATTACAAGCTTGTTACTATAAAAATTCTGATTTGAAGGTAGATTTATGTCTTTGGACATATTCAAATATATACCAGCATTTTAAAAAATTGTCTTCTGAATTTCGTTTTCGGTTGGTGTAAGGTGTTTCTTTGCTTCGGATGACAGGACTGCATCTTGTGTGTTCTGTGATTTTATGTTTCTCTGCTGCTTTCTTGACTTCAATTGCATCAAACATGTGTTTCACAACAGCATCACGCTGTAGGTGTGGGACAATGTTTTTAAGATATACTTTAGCCGTTCCAAACAACCTCTTTGACAAAGCCATTATAGCCATTTTAAAATATAAATTACTTAATTCAAATTTTTAAACTTCTCGCATACTAGCTATACATAATTTTATTATTTTGCCTAGTGCGTAGTCTACTACAGGATTATGATATATTCGTTGACATTACTCAAGTAATCTCTCAGCTTCATTAAAGTTTTTTGTTCGTATAGCTGGTATTGTTAAGCTGATATATTCAAGTGCCTCTTGATTCTTCATCTTCATATTCTTTATCTTCATATTCTTCATTTTCATATTCTTCATCTTCATATTCTTCATTTTCATATTCTTCATCTTCAATTTCTTCATTTTCATATTCTTCATCTTTATATTCATCTTCATATTCATCATCTTCATATTCTTCATTTTCATATTCTTCATCTTTATATTCTTCATCTTTATATTCTTCATCTTTATATTCTTCATCTTCATATTCTACATCCTCGTATTCTTCATTTTCATATTCTTCATCTTTATATTCTTCATCTTCATATTCTTCATCTTCATATTCATTATTAAAGTGTTCTTCTTCATATTCATCAAGGTTTATTCTGATGTCGTTCAGTAATGCCTTTGCGTCGTCAATAGGATACATGCGATCTGATTTTTTCGATAACTGTTCAGCTGTCTCGAAACTTCCTTCCCGATAATCTTCTTTTGCTTTTAACAGACATTTGTATGCCTCAACTTTGATGTTTTCGTGTATAGAACTCTTGTTACCACAGTAGTTATAATTTGAAGGTCTTTGATTTTCAGTAGCTATTTGGATTTGTCTAAAAAACTCTTTAGCTTTTTCTTCGGTGTACAAATTCTCTATTGCTTTTAATAGTTCCTCAGCCTTATCAAAACCGTTGTATATTTTAAACGTTTTCGCAAAATCAAAATTATTTAATTCCTTATCTTGTTCAGCATTACGTTGTTTAAAGAATGTTTTTCTTAAATTTTCAATTCTTTCCTTTGGTATGCTTTCACGTTTTGCGTTTTCTATTAAAGCTAACATTTCCTCGACGTACTCGTCAGGGCTTATGCGTTTAGATATGAAAAGCAATTTTTCTGCCTCATCGAAGTTATAATTAAAAAATGCCTGTTCCGCATCTTTTATAAATTTAAACGCTTCGGTTTGTATTGCTCTCTCTAAAACATTATTTACTTTACGTCTTTTGTATTGTTCATTTTCTTCTGTATCTCTGTCTATCGATTCAGTATTGTTTTTTTTATTACGCGATACATTTTTTTTATGCACAGTAATTAAATCTAATACTTCTCTTAAATATTTGTCTGTAGCTATAAGATCTCGACCAACAATTGCCTCCTTTGCTTTTTCAATGTTGTACAACGCCGCCTTTTCATTATATGTCAAAGATTCCATTTTCTGTCGCTATCAATCGTTATTTTCTTTTTGGGTATTCAATTCAAGCAGGCTTGTAAAGTTCTTCTGCTTCATTTAAAGTCAATTCAGGTTCATATATAAGGTAACCTTTGAAGAATATATATTATATATGCTATTGTAACATTTGGGCTATGGTTTTTTTGTATTATACATTTGAATTTTTATTTGGCTTATCATAAGTGGTAACCGTACAATGTTACTTTGCCTCGAAGTGATTTTCTTGATGTGATACCCTCGGCGAAATTCAACATTGGTTGATTTAATAATAATTCTACAGTTGCCTTTGGAAATTAAAAACCCTTTTTCAACAGAATTAATATACCACCAATCTTAAATTTCAATGAATACGATCCTGTCATTATTTTTATGGGAAAATCGCATGTAGGTACCCATAACAAAATTGAGAAAGTACAGTGGATGCCTCGAGCCGATCTTTGGGTTCTGAGAGCCTTCATATGCATCTATGGTTGAAATTTACATTTTGTGTTTTTATAAGTGTACGGTAAAATCTTTAAACTCTATCTTACTTATCATTTCCTTATTAGCCAGCCTTGGGCCAGTGTCCGTTTCGGTTTATGATGTCTGTTAATATTGATCAAGAACGCCAACGTTTAGGCAGCAGCAAGGTATTTATTTTTGGAAGAACTGCTTGGACGGACTGCTATTGTAGAGATTATACCTGAGGTGATAAAAAAAACAATCATGGACAAACAACACACAAAAGTATAATATTATTAGAGCTTAGAAAGTCACACAAAATGTTAATAGAGGACGAATACAAATAAAGAGAAGGGATTTAAGGTTAATAAGAGTGTTTCCACACGGCGAATATATGCAGCGATGCAAACGCGCGATTGCATATTTGCATCGCTACACTTGCAATTTATAGGCGATTGCATCGATACAATCGCGCAATTGCATCGATTCAATCGCCTATGACTCAGTGTACCAATGCAATCGCGCTTTGTATCGAAGTAGCCGCACGTTTGCATTGCTGCTAAAAATATGTGTGTTAAGGTGTCTACCTTATTATTTATTAGCTATTGTATCGCTGCAAAAAGTTGCCATGTGTAATCTCTCTGAGACGGGGAACTTTGGGAACAAGGAGGTTATACAAGAAGGAAGTCAACTAGGACATTCAAAGAAGATGTGATCCTCATTCAAACTACATTCACACGCTGACTTTGACACGAATTTTGTAAAGGAACAGAGGGGAAGTGGCTTTTTTTTTAGAAGTGGCCTTACCTGAGTGCGTAAATCGTTTAATTGGCTACTTTACTAGCTTGGCGAAAGTTAAAAAAAACCAAGATTATAGTGGAGTGCTATTTGCCGGAGTGACATTACAACGAAGTTCAAAAGCAAACTACAAACAGCACGTTTAATTTAAAATCTCGTTTTGACTGCATTTCATATAATACTGATCATCTTGACTTATCACAGAGGCGTACTTTTAAAAACTTTTTTTAAGTTAATCACTTCACACACAAGACTTCAAAAAATAGGCCCATATTATAGACATTGCTTTAGAAATAGATCTAGCGTATGCGCCTAAAAACGCATACCTACATGATTACATATCAGGAATAAATTAAAATAAGTACGTACCAAATAAATAATCGGAGTTCACGTCGCACAACTTAGAGCATATGACACACAATAGCGACAAGTTATGATAACAAAATTGATAAATATACATTTTTCCTCAATCATGTTGATAATTCGATAATATGAAATCTATTGATATGCTTAGTTGATATGTATATCTTGACCATTACCTACAAGACAACAGCTTCAAAAAATTATATGATTATTGATGCGGTCATCAATAGCGGACTGTATATAACAATATTTATTCTGTATTTATGGTAAATGTTTGTTTACATCTCATAGACCCTTTTTCACTCTTTTTCCTCGTTTCTCCTATTTCCTAATTCCATTTCCAAATTTCTTTATTATGATAAAATAAGTTTCCCCGTTTTCAAGAACTAGTTTAGTCAAAACACTTTGTAAGTGGCTGAAACGCTACCTCTAATCGCGAAAAGCCAAGAAAGAAGAAAATATTAACAAGAAAAGGCGCCAAAAACAAGTACATTTAAATTTAGATTTTTTTCTCCTTTTCCTTAGAAAACTAAACTGCTAAAAAGACTATAAAATATAAATAAGAAAGAATTGACAAGCGAGTGCTGCGATAGATAACCTACGAGGACTCTTACAGTTTTTTATTGAAAAAACCTACCTCAAAATTTAGTTTGACAACCTTCGTGGTCGAGTGACACACCAGTTTTCAAGGTGTCGCCATCTCTCGGTCGGGTTAATATAGAAAAACTAACTTTTCTTTATTGTCTCGGGTCTGGGTGCTCCGATGAAAGAGAGACTTTTAAGGCGTTTTATACCAGCTCGACTCCATTTCACAGGACTCGACTCCATTTCACAGGACTCGACTTCATTTCACAGGACTCGACTCTATAATTAAGACTGGAGGTTCGAGTTTTTATTAATAAGACTTAGTCGTTATACTAAAAGACTTAGAATAATAACGCATAGAATGATAGTTTCATATCAAACGAACTGTCGAAGTGAGGCATAAATCAAATTCATGTAGGCTAGTTTTAGTAGTAGGTTAATTTTCGGTTTTAGTGAATATTTATATAAAAATACAAGTTGAAACGCGTTACTTCCTTGTGGAATGTGATGTTAGTATCTATTTTGTGTTTGTCTGACGTATTTTTACACTCATTTACCGAACATTTCGTCATTTTTAGCTAAAATTCTTGATGTGTTCGCGGTGCAAGTTGACCTTGAGCACTGAAGGCCCGCCCGCTCGTGTAGGCCCTTTGGGCGCGCTTCAATTTGCCTCACTTAGCGTGTGCGGGCTAGGTTTCTATGCGTTATTATTCTAAGCTAAAAGACTTATACGACTTAAATGACTCGAATTGTTTGCAATGGACTTATACCTATTTTAGTCTTATTAAACCCGAAGTTTATAAATAAAAACGACGTAGTAAGTAGTAAATAACCACATTTATTTACTTTCAAAGAGTGATTTAAGCAATAGGTACGAGATTTTAAGTCATAATTATATAATGATTGCATGCAATATTCTTCTGCGAGTAAATTGAAATAATGAAATACAACCAGTATTTAAAAGTCTATGGAAATCCCGTGCTGTTTTTTTTATTTTGTGTAATATTGGTCTGTAACCACTTTTCTTATTATGAAGTCCTGGTACTTTTTTAGACTTCTTTAGAAACCCGTGCACAGTAGTAAGACAATTAATTAATTACTAAATTAATTAATACATAGAACAAATATATACATAAAAATCTCGCTTGTCACCCATTCAGGGGTAGGCAGAGACTGTGGACCTCCACTTAATACGTTCATAAATACTATGTTTAATTCATCATTATGGTCAAACGACAGTATCAGACACTAAAATTTGATAAAATACTTTGACTGTTTTTTATATTAAACTCCCAAAAAACAAATTTTTGAATTGGTTATAATTAACTAACTTCTCTGAACAAAGCTACGTTAACGTTACCCGTCAATCATAAAGCAAATATCTTGTGGGTAGAAATAAAATCACGCTCGAGACTCGCGACTCTCGAGGCTTTAAGGCGTCAGTCGTTTTAGTCCTTTGGCGTTTTAGTTCTATAAGTATTTTAAGCTTCCTAGGGTTAAAAGACTTCGACTCGAATAAGTCTTCAGTTTTAGTCTTATAACTCAAGACTTGAGGGTTAACAAAATAGACTAGCCGTGAGGCGTTAAAAATTAGTCGAGGTTTCTTAAAAGGCCTTAAAAGACTGAGTCATTAGTCCTTTGGCGTTTTAGTTCTAAAAGTATTTTAAGCTTCCTAGGGTTAAAAGACTTCGACTCGAATAAGTCTTCAGTTTTAGTCTTATGACTAAAGACTTGAGGGTTAAAAAAATAGACTAGCCGTAAGGCGTTAAAAATTAGTCGAGGTTTTTAAAAAGGCCTTAAAAGACTGAGTCACTGCACCCGATCCAAACTTTGTATCGCAGTTTCTATTAAACTATTGCCGCGTACCATCCGCCTACGGTCGATATGTGCAACTCTATAAGTTTCTTAGAAGCGAAAAAAAAACATTTATAAATTAAAAATGATTTATTTGACCCTTGGCATCTAAAAATACAAAATATTACAAAAAAACTCACAAATATTTAGGTAACCAAGTATAATTTTTACAGTTCAAAATCCTAACATTCAATTTTAGTTGGAAGTCGTATCCATCCTTGATATAATCAAACAACATAATGTCAAAAGTGCTTATCACGTGAAAGTAATAAAACTATGACGACTACATAAAACAAACTATGTATATGTGCAATTTTATAAAGAAGTTATGGATTTCGTTAATACTATCTTCAAACTTGAAAAATTGTCATTTTGCAGATGTGGCCTTATTACAACACCAAGGCTGTGACATTAAATATGTAATAAATCAAAATTAAGTTTACTTCTTCGTCATTTCAAGTGTGGAATACAAAATTGTTTTGCAGTATCATTTAAAAAACAAAGGTGATTTAGTGCCGCGTGTCCAAAGCCATTTTGGCTCTTTTATCATCATCGTCATTATCGAAAAACTAATACTAAGAAGAACTTAATGGACACTGCTTTTGAAGGCCAAGGGATGTGAATACATCGGCAAATGAGTCACATCCAGAGATGGGCAAACGCCCCGGTTGTAATAGGTTACAACCCATTAACGAAAATTCGAAGGCCAAAAACTATTACAATTAAATATGTGTTGTAAACCGAGTTTTGTTCACATTGAATGAAATTATTACTAATATTGTTTTCTGATCTAGACGATTCGAATTGCCTTTCTATAATTGAATCGTACGTACGGACAAAAAAACGTTAGATTGTATAAACTTGAACGATTTTCATAAAAATCTATCTCGTTATGTGCCCTTACCAGTGAGAATCCACAGGATTGAAAGGTATTGCTGTCGTCCGCTACCAAAACGCGGCTGTGACAAAATATTTCTTTGAGATATCATAGAAAACCATAACCCATTTTAGAATACTGAAATTGTTTAATGTTATTTCAGCTATGCGTCGTTAGGGTAAGTTCCGCTAAGTGGAACACGTTAACTAATTTTAACTGTTATTAAAAAAGAGAATTTGTGCTCTATGCTTTGCGACTTAAAACTGATATTTGACCATTTGTCAGTTACCCGCGTTTTAGTTAGTGGATGGCAGATTTTGTGGAGTTGCCTCTATTTCACCTAAAAAAGATTTCTACGTCGATTTTGTAATAAGTATGGAATATACAATTGCCCATCTCTGGTCATCTGATGAACACCGCGAGCATTTGATTTGGCAAGGCCTTTAGTGTTACGCTAGAAATACAAAAAACCGACCGTATCAACCAACAAACGTACCACTACTGATCACATATCCGTAAATATGAGGTAAAGAACCTTAAGTCCATGTTTTGGAATTTAAATGCTTTAAAGTGCAGGCCACAACGCGAACGAAGCTAACCGAGCTAACTAAACTATCCCAACGATCACGCTAATCTATGTAAAATATGGCGCCCTTCTGCCACCTTTCACCACCGTACGTATCCATAAAATAGCACGTCACTACTACTACGTACTTTCTTAGCTTTGCATGTAACTACGTGAGCTTAGCTACAGTCTGTCTTAT